GGTTTGAATCCAGGCCGCACTCTCAGAAGTTGAGAGACCACAGTTAAATTATTTAACCTTTCTCTCTGTGGCTTCGGCCATAAAATAGGGACTAACAGTTCTCATTTCACAGGATTGCTGTGAGAAGTCAATGAAGTGATGCGTGTAAGGTGCTTAGCACAGTGTTAGGTATTTGGTCCATGTTCCTTAATTGTTAGCGCTCAAAGAAAGGGAGCAAGAAATGACACAGTCCCCATCCTCCAGAACACCCAGTAGAGTGGGTGACTGAATTGGAGAGGAGTTGGGTTATTGGAAACGAGGGGCCAGGGAGTTGGATGAGCTACCCAGGCCAATGTGTGAGAGCAGGGCTTGAGGGCCCTCTGGCCCCCAGGAGGGAAGAGTGGCAGGGAGGAGGAGGGGAGTGCGGCCTTCAGTGGAGATGGCCTCAGGACGCCTCAGGAGGATACTGGGGGAGCCAGGATGCATTCAGCGCAGGCAGGCTCTGTAAGGACAGTGGTCCTCGGAGTGCGGCAGGTACTCCCGGGAGCCTGGTCTGGAGCAGGAGGAGTCTGAGAAGGTAGCTGGGGAAGCTCAAGAATGGGACTAACCAGCGCCAGCCAGAGGCCAGCAAGCATTCCAGAGAACTGGGGAGGGGAGAGTGAGGCAGTGGGAAGAGGTGTAGGGTTCCAGCAGAGGAGACACGTAATAACTGTGCTCAAAGGAATTGTTGGAGCACCACTGCTTGGGGTGATAGGTTTGTCTCTTATTTTTCTGCATTAAATACATGGACTTCTGTGGTATCTTCAGAATCTTTAGACTTCTAGAATCCTTAGGATTCATTCTTTTTTGTTACACTTCCTATGTGTAATGTTTGGGGAAGAGGGGCTTGAGCCTTGGGGGTCAGCCAGCCAACACGTGGCTAGGTGGTCCCTGGGTCATACACCTGCTTCTGAGACTCCCAGGGCCAGATTTTTGCCCCACTCTGTATTTGTAAATCACTCCAGTCTTCCCTGACTCCGAGGTGGCCCAGCGGGGTGACTAGCAGGGGCAATCTGGCCAATGTCAACTTAAAGGGCTTGCAAAGAGAAAAATATTCTTGGAACAGAAGACAAATCTCAAAGTTGGTGGAATGCTTGTCCTCCTGGAAGAGGACAGCTGCCTCGGTTTCCCACTAACACTTAAGAGTCAGTAAGTAGGGCCCTAAATATCTGTTAAAGGAGCAAATGAATGGTCTCTCCGAGTTCTGTTTCCACCTGTAGGTCCCAGCCTTTAAGGCATGGACTGGAGAGGAGAGGGCAGGCTCTCTAGGGTGGCTTCTGACTAATGACACTAACCCAGGGGTGCCTTGAGTCAATCTTGATTTCAGCTCAGGTCATGATCTCAGGGTTGTGAGATAGAGCCCCACATGGAGTCAGGCTCTGTGCTGGGTGTGGAACCTACTTAAGATTCTTTCTCTCTCCCTCTGTTCCTGCCCCACCCCCTAAAAAATAAAATAAAATAAAATTGGAACCAATTAAGGAGTCAGAAGTTGGAAAAAAAATGGCAGCAAGTAAAAAATGAGATAGCAGGTCCAGCTCCAGTTGTCTCAACATCTTTCTTCTTTCTTTCTCTCTTTCTTTTTAAGATTTTATTTATTTATTTGACAGAGAGAGAGAGAGAAAAAAAAAAAACACAAGCAGGGGGAGTGGCAGGCAGAGGGAGAGGGAGAAGCAGGCTCCTTGCTGAGCAGAGAGCCTGACTCGGGACTCGATCCCAGGACCCTGAGATCATGACCTGAACCAGAGGCAGACGCTTCACCAACTGAGCCACCCAGGCGTCCCTCAACATCTTTTCTTAAATCACCAAAATAACAAATGCACTAATTAATCTTCTGTATTTTGGCTTATGTGGTAGCATTATCCTCCCTCCATGATTCCCAAAACTGTATTCTCTAATTATAACATGAGTTTTCTTGAATTCTTTGCTCACCTCCTCTGGTTCCTTTTTCATTTCCACCGGCACCAGAGTTTGTTTACCTTTTATCATATTTTCCCCAAACGTTTTATTTTCCAGTGACAAAAACATGTAATAGCCTCCCTATTTTACATTGGCATAGAAGCATTAATCAATTGCCTTGACTACATCTTTTTGTGAAAAGGCAATTTGACAAAATGTTATTATGGGGAGCTTGCATTTCAAGCACTTTTTTTTTTCTAAAGATTTTTATTTATTTATTTGACAGAGAGAGACACAGCAAGAGAGGGAACACAAGGGGGAGTGGGAGAGGGAGAAGCAGGCTTCCCGCCGAGCAGGGAGTCGGATGTGGGGCTCTATCCCAGCACCCTGGGATCACGACCTGAGCCAAAGGCAGACGCTTAACGACTGAGCCACCCAGGCGCCCTCAAGCACATTTTTTATCCTGTTGATTTTTTTGAAGGGCACCGAATGCTTTTAAAATTTAATTTAAAAAAATAGGTATTAGGGCACCTGGGTGGCTCAGTCAGTTAAGCCTCCCACTCCTGGTTTCGGCTCAGGTCATGATCTCATGGGTCATGGGATTGAGCCCTGAGTCGAGTGGGACTCCGGCTCAGCAGGTATCTGCTTGAGAGTCTCCCTCTCTCTCTGCCCCTCCCCCACCCTCTCTCAAATAAATAAATCTTTTTAAAAAAATAGGGATTAAAAATTATTTTAACTTTGACATTAAAAAAACCCCAGGCCATGACCAATAATAGTTTTAAGCTTATCTAATTAAGATGTGATTGAAAACAGAAAAGTAAAACTTCCAAACCCCTAGAGGGGGTGTCCACCTTACAGATCCCTGCCAGATGTCTGCTGTAACAGAGGCAAAGAGCCGCTAGGTGGCTCTGTCATTTTTAAGTAAAACTAAAGTCCGCAAAAGATAATACATAGTTAAGGAACAAAATATCACTAGTAGGCATAACCTTTAATCAAAGGAAGAAATAATCTGCAATCATGGCCTCTTACTCAGAATAATTTGGAGCTATTGGGTTAAGAATTAGACAAACAACAACAACAACCCTGCAAAACTGCAAAGTATGTATACATAAGCAATTTGTTAAAAAATAAGGGAAGGTATGATTAAGTGTAAAGGACATCAGTTACAGAAGGGGAGATGGCTTCAAAAGTTTTCTAATTTATTGCCATCTTGGTTCCTAGCTTTTCTTTTGGACTTTCTCTTTTTTGTTTAGACCTTTCAACTTAAGAACAAACATTAAATTGGGGCATTTTAACTTATAAAAAAATTACTTTCAAGTTTCCTGGGTTATAGTTGTCATCTTTATTAACATCCCAAGAGAAGCCACAAAACAACTTTGTTTGAGACTATTTGGGAAGGAAAAAAAAACACAACACTGTGCTTATCTACATTAAGAAAAATTTAGATCCTTAAATCAAAATACAATTAAACACTATTCCATTCTATAGCATTTGCCAAGAGATTGAAAGAAACAGTGCAGTAAATTTTGAGGTGAGAATAATTCTTTTCTGGTTCCAGAAAAGATGAGAAAAATGGTTACATTTGAACTGTGGTTTGCATTTTCGGTATCACGATTTACTAGTCAAATATCCCTGGATGTCATTTTTTAAGAAGCGAGATAACAGAAGATGCTAGTTTTCTGTAAAGTACATAACAAACTTTACATCATGAAATAAATGCGGAGTGGAGGGGGGTGGATTTCCGAATTATTAAATATTCTCAACTGGCCCTCTGCAATTGGCAAACAGAAAAGCGCTTTCCTCCCTCCCCTCTCTTAAGTGACAATCTCAGACTTGTCACCTGTTAAGAACATACTTAGGATAATTTTAATTGTAAAGGAAACAATTTTCTTATTGTTGTTCGGAGCGAATAATGATTGCGGGGCACGTGGGGTCGCCACAGTATTTTACCTGTTTCGCTTGTTTTTCCAGGCAGGAACCGCATTTCAAAACTCAGAGAAGTAGAAAGCAAGTCCTATGCCATAATTCGTTGAGACCATTTTTGTAAATGAGCGCTTCTGGCACAGTTTAAATTACAGTTGGCTTTAAAATGCTAATTCCGAACCCACTTATTTAAATGTCTCTGAAAACACACACCCTTCTGTTTTTGAAGAAAACAAATCACACCAAAAGATTGCACAAACCGGACTTAAAATGAACAAATACTTCCCGAATGTGAACGAACATATAGTTATGTGTTTAGAGACACGGTTAGAAAAATTAAAAACCGATTTCAGTCACTCCCATCACAGAATCCTCTACGGAGAAGGAGACACTCCAAGGATGCCCGGTAATAAAATCTACCGTATAACTCCAAAGAGTTGTTAATCGCGTCTATTATTTTCGGCTAGAAGACGATGTGTTGAGACTGGCCGTGAATCCAGTAACTCAATGACAAAAGGTGCAGAAGCTTGAGGTAGAAAACCACAGGGGGTTAGGCAGGTGGTCTGAGCGGCCACCCAAACTCATCTTGGGGACTTTTTAGAAAACAGTTGTAGTGTTTGGGTTATCTTCTCTCGGTTTCAATATTCGTTATTTTTATTTTTTTTTCCTGGGCTAAGACCGCGTCGGCTGGGAATGAGGTGCTTTTAGCCTTCAACCTGGAGGCGCCGGCCTGCGCCGGCCTCCCCCCGCCCGCCCCCCGGGCTCCCGCCCGGCCGAGGAGGGGCTTCGGGGGGCTCCCGGGGGCTCCGGGGGCGGGGCGGGGCGGGGCGGGCCGGGCGGGCGGCGCGAGGGCTGGGGCGCGCTCCGCCGGGTAGCGCGGGCAGGTGGGGCGTGGCGGGGGCGTGGAGAGCCCGGGCCCGCGGGCCGCCGCCCAGCCCCGGGCCGGCCCGGGAGGAGCCGCGCCGCAGACGGTTATAAGAAGCCGAATCGCAGGCGTTCTGCGCGCCTCCGCCGACCCCCTGCTCGAGCACCGGTCGCCCTGCGAGGGCCGAGGTGGGGCCGCGGGGTGGGCCCCCAAAGGGATGCTCTCGCCCGAGCGGCGAGACCAGCCCCGCTCGCCCCTCGCCGCGGCCGCCGCGCCGCACCCGCCGACGGCCCCCGACATGGCTCTCTACTGCGGCGACAACTTCGGCGTGTACTCGCAGCCCGGCCTGCCCCCGCCCGCCGCCGCCGCCGCCGCCCCGGGCGCCCCCCCGGCCGCCAGGGCGCCCTACGGGCTGGCAGACTACGCCGCGCCGCCCGCCGCCGCCGCCAATCCCTACCTGTGGCTCAACGGGCCGGGAGTGAGCGGCCCGCCCGCCGCCGCCGCCGCCGCCGCCGCCGCAGCTGCCTACCTGGGCGCCCCGCCGCCGCCGCCGCCACCACCCCCCGGGGGCGCCGCCGGGCCCTTCCTGCAGCCGCCCCCCGCCGCCGGCACCTTCGGCTGCGCTCAGCGGGCCTTCGCGCAGCCCGCGCCCGCAGCGCCCGCCTCGCCCGCGGGGCCCGCCGCGCCGGGCGAGCTGGGCTGGCTGTCCATGGCCAGCCGCGAGGACCTGATGAAGATGGTGCGGCCACCCTACTCGTACTCGGCGCTCATCGCCATGGCCATTCAGAGCGCGCCCGAGCGCAAGCTCACGCTCAGTCACATCTACCAGTTCGTGGCCGACAGCTTCCCCTTCTACCAACGCAGCAAGGCCGGCTGGCAGAACTCCATCCGCCACAACCTGTCGCTCAACGACTGCTTCAAGAAGGTGCCCCGCGACGAGGACGACCCAGGTGAGGCGCAGGACAGGTGCTTCCCGGCCGGGGAGGGTGGGGGAGCGGCGCCCGGGCAGGGGCCCGGTCGGTGTGGGGCTGGCTTGGAGCTCCGCGCGGAGTCTTCTCTAACTGCCGATGGGAGCCGGGGTGGGGAACAACCACCCGAACCTCGGACCTCGTCTGGCTGGGGTGAGGGCAAGCCCGAGGACAAAGAGAACTATCAGAGGATCCTCAGAGCGGGGAGCCGGTGAGGGTGGAGCTCGCCCCTTAACACACACGCACACACCTGCACCCACCCACACGCACGCGCTCGCGCAGAGCCTGGCCAGTTAGAGAAAAAGGAAAAAGACCGTATCTTCAAACGGGACGCCACCCCTGGGTGGTGGTCATCATGCGGATTGAAGGGAGGGTTCAAGGCATAGGGAGGGAGATTAGGAATAAGTACACGCGTGGGATCTCAGATAAGGGACGACTATAAAGGGATTCAGGTGAACTGTGAATCCCATCACATTTCACGGAAGAGGTGATGAGAGACCAAGGCCGTTCGAGCTGTCCCTGGATGCACTTCCTGCACCAGGTTCCTAAGACTCACGGTGTCCTTCCTGAAACAAGCGCCTACTTTGAGAGAGATGATTGAGGGTAGTGGCACGGGCATCATGAGAGAGGGCCGGCCAGAGGAATGAGAGAGCTTTAGCCGGGTCCTGCAAATCGTGATTTTGGTGCCTTAACTATTTAGGAATGTAAAAATGAAAACCCCAAATTTGCTGCGTTCTGATCTAAGCCCTCGGGGTGAGGAGAACTGGGTTACAGTGGGGTGTTGTGAGTGGTTTTCCTCTACCTGAGAAAGGGGGCGAAGAAAAGCTCAAAAAGGAGAGAAACACGATTATACTTGAGGTTTTCAGAAGGCTCCTGGAACCAGGGAGGTGGGGACAGAGATGTGATGGGCAAAAGAGAAGAAATGGTTTCAGTTGCATGCTACAGAGATCCAGGATTTTGTGTAAAATGCTCTGGAGTGTTCCCCCCTGAACGTATTCTAGAGTGGTGCTTTCCAATAGAAATACAGTATAAATCACCTGTGATAGCATATTTTCTAGTAGCCACATTAAAGAAGGTAAAAAGAAACTGATGAAATTATTTTTAATATTTTAAATAACCCAAAATATTGTTTCAACATATAGCAAACATAAAAATTATTACTGAGATACTTTTTTACTTATTTATTTTTTTGGTATTAAGTCTTCAGACTCTGTGTGTTTGATTCCACATGGCATTTTGGACGACCCACTTTTCAAGTGCCCACAGCCATGTGTGGCAAGTGGTTACTGTATTGGACAGGGCATACAGTTCTAGAAGATGAAGCTTCCCGATTTGGCCTCTAAACCACCCGAGATTATCATGTTAATTGTCATGTATATTCTTTTGGACTTCCTAAAAAGGTGGTGTCTTTAGCTAGTGTCTTGTCAAAGCATTTGGTACTAAGGGGCAAAATATAAATATACTTATAGGTGCAGGTACTATCATTTAGGTGGTAGTTGTATGAATAAGAATTTTTTTTGGCAACTATTTGCAAAAAATGTGTTAATGAAGATAATGGGTTTGGAGGGGTGTGTGCTAGTTTGTGCAAGCAACCTAACACAATAGTTAGGTAAGAATGCTGAGTCTAGAGCCAGCCTGCTTAAATCCCAGCTCTACCATTGCTAACAGGGAATACTGCAGGTTACTAACCAACCTGCTCCTCAGTTTCCCCATCTGACAAATGGAGGCACTAATAATTGCCTGTCTCCACAGAGCTGTGAGGAGCAACTGAAGTTGCCCATGTAAAGCACCCTACAAGATGAGTGCTTACCAGTGCTTTCACACGGCGAAGATTCTATTTACCAGAAGTGATAAAAGCTATTGAGAGAAAATCCTCCAAGATGATAGGTCTTTTTTTACCTCAGTTGTGCTAAGTAGTGAGGGAAATTGTTTAAGCAGAAGACTGGCACTGCATACATTACCTGAGGCTCTGGTCTGAGATCTGGGGGGGGGGGGGGGGGGGGGGGGGGGGCAGGAACAGATGGCCAGAGATGCAGGGCATCTCCTGCTCAAGGTGAGGAGGGGATGTAGACTCCAGGAGCTTCCTGTACCCTGAACAATGCTATTTAACAAGATGTTGTTAAAAGAATTGATTGCTCAGTAATAACTTTTGTAATTTTTGTTTAGTAAGACAAATGATTGGGTATTTGAGGTTGCCTTCTCCAGTGGAGTGGGGTTTTTTTGTTTTGTTTTAGGGGCAAATATTGTACCCTTTCAGCAAGTCATAATGATAACAGATAGTGATTTTTCACTGCTTACTGTGTACCAGCTACTGTGCGGAGACACCATTTAACCCTCGCAGTCAATCTGTGAAATGGGTATTATTTTTATGCCTACTTCTGTAAAGAAATGGAGGTTCACATTTAAGCAGCGCCAGGATTTTGCAAGGGCTCAGCATATGGATCTGGAGGGGAAGGTGTTGGGTAATTAAAGGTGTCTTGGGTCTAGAAGTAAGTCTTAAGATTTAGGTAGCAGACACTGCTGGGGGGGGGGGGGCGGTGCGTGGAAATGGCCAGAACATCTTTGTTCCAGATTTCTCCTTGAAGGTGAAGACTAAAATCTCCCCAAGAGGATAAACTTAAAAAAACAGTCGAGTGGACAGAGCATCCTGGTCAGCATTTTAACGAGAGAGTCTGTGCTCCTCGTTCCAGAACTGAAGCTGACTACACAGGCGTGAACTAGGTCCTTCTCTAACTTGTGTGCCTTTCTCCTCTCCATAGGGAAAGGGAATTACTGGACCCTGGATCCGAACTGTGAGAAAATGTTTGACAACGGGAACTTCCGTCGGAAGCGGAAGCGCCGCTCCGAAGCCAGCGGCCCCTCCACGGTGGCTTCAGGGACCACAAAATCGGAAGAAGGGCTCGCCTCCGGATTGGGGTCGGGCGTGGGCGGGAAGCCCGAAGGAGACAGCCCCTCCGCGTTGCTAAGGCCGTCCCAGTCCCCAGAGCCTCCCGAGGGCACCAAGAGTACTGCGTCGTCCCCGGGAGGATCCCTGCTCACCTCTGCCCCTTGCCTCAACACCTTCTTCAGCAGCCTGAGCACCCTGAGTGTCAGCAGCAGTGGGAGCGCCCCGCGGGCTGTCCCCGGCAGCCGCCACCTAGGGATCCAGGGGGCGCCCCTAGCCTCCAGCAGCACGTTCCCCGCCAGCTCCATCCCCGAAGCCCCGCCAGACAGCTTGCAGCTGAGTCACAGCGCTAGCAACGGCAGCAGCCAGAGGTCTTCCTACTACAGCCCCTTCCCCGCCAGCACCGGAGGGGGTCAGAGCAGCCCGTTCAGCAGCTCCTTCTACAACTTCAGCATGGTCAACAGCCTCATCTACCCCCGCGAGGGCTCCGAGGTCTAGGACAGCCGCCCCTCGGAGTTGAATATGCACACCTGAGATCTTGTGAAATGCTGATTTCCAGGCCGTAGGTCTGGGGCAGCAGGTGGCATTCTGCATTCCTCCGGAGTCCCAGGTGTTCCTTGGCCCGATGGGAATAGTAGAGAACTCTTCCTACAGCCCTGCAAGCTTTTACAGGTTTCCCTGGAGAGAAAGCCACCTCACTCTGTTCGGGACAGTGCCTGTGAGCCCTGTGAGGGCAGGGACCATGTCTGTTTTGTCCGTCACTGTACAGCAGGGTTCTGAGCTCAGATGTGTCGAAGGGCCAGCCAAAAAAACAAAAGAATGAAGTTGGTCAGGTAGGAAAAAAGGCAGCGGTTGACCATTGAAGCAGGTAAGGGAGTGTTTGGGACTGACCAGCTAAAGGCTGCTATGGGCCGTTTTGTTATTTCCTGCCTGGCAGCATCCTGATTTTTCTAGAAAAGTCAGATATCTGGATTTTTATAGGAAACCTTCATTTGCATTTTTTTTGGGGGGCCACTAATTAAAATTTTTTTAAATCCTGCGCTAGGACATACCACAAATCCTCTGAGCTACATCCGGCTCACACATCACCTCTGCTTAGGCTCCGGGTCTGGGCCATGGCAGATACTCATAGCGGTGAAACTGCCCAAGCAAGCCCTGGGTGCCGAGCGCTATTTCAGACAGATACTCGACGTGTATTAGGTCATTTAATCCTCACAACAACCTTGGGAGATAGGTATGGTTACTACCCCTCATCTTCTGTGTGAGGGCAGTGTAGCTCCAGGAGGTCAGGTGTCTCCCCCAAGGTCACACAGATGGTAAGGTGTGGAGCCAGAGTCGGGTTCAGGCAGTCTGGTTACAGAGCTGGTGCTGGAAGGTTTGTTGTGGTTCTGAAAAATGAAGTTGCCATTGTCCATAGGCGGACGTAGCATCTAGGGGGTAGGAATGAACTCGATCTCATTTGACCAAAGATTTCTGATTGAAATTATCACTTGAGATGTTGCCCTGAGCAGCAAGGACAGACACCACATCTGCGTTCTGCTGCCATACGCCTGAGGTCCGGGGTGACCATGGTCCTCATTAACTTGATGTCCTAGCCCTTTTAGCATGTGTCCTGGATTTTTCATTTTTTTAAAACAAAATATTAGAATTTAATTAAAAATAGTTTTTAAATGGAATTTTTATAGTTTCTTAATAAACCATTTGTTGTCAAAATTTTTATTTTTAGCACTCCCTTTTACTTCGCAAGAGGTATCTTCATTTTGATAGTGTTTATGGTCACCCTCCCAGAGCCCAGCAGAGTGTCTGGTCCATGGCAGATACTCAGCCACTGTTTGAACTTAATATAAGAGGTGCTAATTAGAATGTGGATAATTGTTGATTTATTGGAACAGCCTCCATTAAGATGAACATAATGTCCTGAATTGCCTTTGTACCATGTTGTTGGTCTTTGATAGGGACATTGTTGGTTTGGGGATTTAATTTTTTTTAGAAAAAGGAACACCCATTTTTAAAATTTTTAACTTTTCCCTGTATATTCTTTTCGAGACTCACAGCATTACTCTTAAATTTTTATTTTGAAATACACAATACAGAAAGTTATTTTTTAAACAGTTTACTGAAGTATAAAATAACAACGTCACCATTACTTTTTAAATGTTACGGAGAAAGGCAACCAAAGAGACTACCTACCCCAAATTGTGTGTACAAAAACCAGTTTCTCTGGATATTTTTCTATGTGAAAAATCGTTATGGACTTTTATAAATATTGTTTCTAACACAATTCTATATTTGTAAATTAATTTATAATGTGAACTGGGACAAAATTTTTTTTCCCCAGAAAGTACACTGCATGCTGAGAATCACATGAAATAAACTCTAAGTGGGAGATTTTTGGCCACTTTTAAGCATTTCTGTTTTTCTGTCTTCAGCTTCTTTCTCCTAAAGGAATAGAGGTGTGAGCGGCCTGACACTGAAGCCATTATATAGGGACTTTGTTGAGAGTGAAAGCAAATGGTGTTTTGTTGGATTTGTCCCACCTGCCCACGTCTGAAAGGCTGGAACCAAACGGTTACTCCTTGAGGATGGTCTGTAGGCCTGTGAACATTTTAATGATTTTTAGCAGAGTAACAGTTCTGTCTTAGATCAAAGTGCACAGACCATTTCTCTTCCAGGTTGAAATGGTGCTGGAAGGTCTCAACCAGCTGGCCACAGTCCTCAGGTGGGGCTCTGCAGCCTTGGGTGTGGGGGCCCCCTTAAGGGCCACAGGCGGCCCATTATTTCCAAGGAAATAGGGAGGAAACTATTGAACTGGGCTCCTAGAAGAAACCTGAAAGTTGAGGTTTCTAGACTAGGGTTTCTAGGCCTCAGCATGTGATATTTGGGGCTGGGTAATGGGTTGGAGAGGCTACCCTGTGCATCACAGGATAGTTAGCATCCCTGGTCTCTACCCATTAGATACTCGAAGCACCCCCTCTCCTCCTGGCCCGGGCCACATATGACAACCAAAAGTATCTCCAGACAATGACAAATGTCCTTGGATGGGGTGGGGTGGGACAAAATCAACCCTGGTGGAGAAGCACTGATCTAAACTGACACCCACAATTTGCCAACAAGGAAAGCCGCTTCCTTACTCCCCCACACAAAGTCCTAAGTGCTAGGGCATTGTTGAGCCCTGAATGAATTGGGCCACTGGGTTTCCGGTATAGGACAGTTTCTGTCCTATGAGATGCCTTTTGCCCTCAGGAAAATCAGCTGTGAGCTGGAGCAGGCTGGCAACAGAGGCATTTCTCAAAACAGATCCACCGGTTTGCCCTGTCATGTTGGAGGTCGATTTCCTTCAATATTTGAGTTGCTGATTATAGATTCTTACAGTAGCTTCCTTCTTGGCATGGTTATTTTTACTAACAGAGACCTAGGCTGGAGTAATATTGACCAACAATAAATTACCTGGGTTATTTTTTCGGCACAGGTGGCTGGGTGGGGTGGGAGGGGGATGGAGACAGGCAGAGGGATTTCTTGGAAAGAAAGACATGTAAAAAGAACTTGAGTAACCTGTGTTTGGAAGTATCTAGATCTGAGTGGTTGATACTCAATGTCAGAACAATGGCGTTTATGAGAACAAAGGCGAAGAGAAGAATCCCCTTCAATCCCCCGCTGAACCACTAGAGAGGGCAGCAGGGTGACTCGGTCTCCACTCCCAGGACCAGTCTCCATCAGGGAGCTGCCTCCTGCTGGGCATGGGACGGAGGCAGAGGGACGAAGCTGCCTGTGTGGGTGATGTTTCCAGGTCAAAGTATGCACCAGCCCTCCCAACTGGCACCAATTTCCTGCATCTGTGACACTTTCTGCCTGGGAACCAGGTCAGAAATTCTGGATCTGCGTGAGATTTCACTTTCTGTTTGGGATAGTGCAGAGGGAAAGATGTGCTCCTGAGGCATATAGATGAGTGCCCTTCATTCTCTGGGGTGGCCGGGGACTGGGGGCTGATGGCGAGTTGCAGCCCAGGCTGAGGCCGTTTGGGTACATGTATAACTGAAAGCAGCTGCTTTCCACCCCTTCTAGAATCTCATGTATCTTCCAGAATAAAAGAGAGGCAGAGAAGAATGTTAAAAACTAATAAGCCGGGTTCAGGTTTCCTTCTAAGTACTTTGAGAACCTTTATCCCATTTTTTTTTAAGTAGGCTCCACACCCAGCACAGAGCCCAAGGCGGGACTTGAACTCACGGCCCTGAGATCAAGACCTGACCTGAGAACAAGAGCCAGACGCTTCACCAACTGAGCCACCTAGGTGCCCCCCCCATTTTGTCCCATTCTTAAACTTACTAGGAAAGGGCACCCAGAGACTTCGAGAACTACGAGCCTTTGCACCCTAACTTCTCCAGCTCCCCAAGGTGCTGTCAAGTCCCAGGGCAACCTGGTCAAGCTGTGGCCATGAGGAATGTCACTGAAACTGTGACTCCCTCCCTGCGACCGCCCAGAACTTGGAAAAAGGCTAACTGTGCAGCGTCTAACTGGTTCTTGTTTTCTTTAGTTGCTGTAGTAGCTAAACCTTGAGATTGTTAAGGAAGAAGAAACTCCCTTTGGTTTACCTGAGGCAGGGATTTGCTGGTTTCTGGGGCAGAGAACCGGTCGCCAACGTGGCCTTGCCTTTTGTCATGGAAAGCAGTCAGCTGGGGCGCGTGGCCGGGTGGCGGGCACCGTTGGAGAAGGAAGGAATTTCCTGTCAGTTTCGAAAACAAAAAAAGGTCAAAAAGACCAGCTACCTACTGAATTCCTCTCTGCTTTTTTATTCAAGATGTCAGGGGATCCTCACCAAAACCCCGGGAGGCCTGGAGAGCAGCCCTTTATTATTTTAAAAAAGGCAAACATTACAATAATAATAACTCACTTGCTCGGTACTGGGCATTGTCCTCAAATATATAAAGATATATATTAAATATAAAATAGCTATCTTAACAACTCTATGAAGTAGACACTGTTTTGTTTTTGTTTTTAAGTAAACTCTTATCCCCAACGTGGGGCTCGAACTCATGACCCCGAGATCAAAAGTCGCATGCCCTCCCGACTGAGCCAGCCAGGCGCCCCAAGTAGACCCTGTGATTATTCATTTCGCCAGCGAGAATCCTGAGGCCCACAGTTTGTATAACTGGGGCATGGTCAAAAATCTAAGTAGCTGCTGCCGGTAAGTGGTAGAACCGAGATTCAAAATCAAGTCATCCGATGTCAGAAGCCGCCTGTCCTTAAACTACTCTATGGTCTCTCCATTTTGAAGATGAGAAAGGAGAGGCACAGAGAGGTTAAGTGACTTGCCTAAGGCCACAGTCATTGGTGACAGATTTGGGGGCTTAGAAGCCAGGTTCCTGCTTCCTCAGTGATGTTCCCTTGAGGCATTTCCTCTGTATGCTCCCTGAGGTTGGTTTTCCTGTCTGGGGTTCCCTTTTCCCGGACACAGGAAGGTTAGCAGTGGGAAGGAAAGCTGCCTTTCCTTGACATGTTCT